GGATTGGGGACAAGTCAACCTCGGGCCTTGAGAACCCAGTTTACCGTTCACGGAAACTGAAATGCGTATGCGGTGAAACAACAAACAGACAGAAATGCACGCCTCGACCGTTTTGACTAGCCATTTTTTCCTATTTTTCTTGCTGATTTGGGGGCGGGTCAAGTTCCGTCTGGATTACGAAGCCCAGGCAGTAGACTCCAGCCGAAACTGTGCGATTAGGGGGAAGCAGGTACGGTTCCTTTGATTGAGATTACAAAAATACACTCATGACTATTACTGGGAATTCTTTTAAATCATCAGTTTCAGTTTTTTACAACCATTAACCCGTCACTTTCGTGAGCCGGTTTTGGTTGCTGTCTTTTGGTGCCACATTTGGATAAAAAAGCAGAATGAAGATTGGAATGTTGAAAGCAAATTCAAGCGGAAGATGGAGAATTCATTTGGAAAATTCATATAGGAAAATAATGAGTGAATGCATGAGCGCCACTGTTCGCGACACCCAGCCATATCACTGTGTCTCTAACCGCCAGTAACCATCATCTCCGGGTCCCCAGCCAAGGACCCTAACGGGGCCTGTGACCTAGTCTTCATTTGACCACCCTTCACCTTTTTCCAATAGCTACCTGCCTCGGAAAACATTGCTCGCCGTGGCAACCTATTTGGTGACATGCCCCAACCAACGTAATTTATACAGGTTGATCACTTGTTTCAGTTGACGACCGCGACTACCTAAAACTCTGCGCCGAACCTCAGCAATGCTCGTCCGGCTACCCTACCAGACTCGTGCAATGCGATGTAGACAACGAGATCAGAGAGAGGGATGATGGACGCCCTGTCCTTAGGTGAAGGCTCACTCTGGAACCTAGACGGGTTAAAACCAGTGAAGATCCGTAATTGAGTTATCTCGGACGCGTAGCTTTTGCCAGTGGAGAGGGAGGGAGTCTTCGAACCATTTCTTTATTTGAGTGGCGGTAACCGAGCGGTTAAAGTAACCAAAGTCACGAGTATGAATCCCATCAACGAAGTCCATCTTCCTCATTTGTGTTATTCCCCTGGTGACCTTTGATTAATCGTGACTCTACTCTTGAAAAAATTGACTGTACCATAGTATAGTCAATAGATAAAAGGGAAGTAAAAGATTGTTAATGAAAAAACCGAGACTAGTGACCTATCTATGAACTTGCTACAAGTTTGTCAAAGAGCCGGAGAGGAGCATGAGTGTAGCGATGCTGGCAAGACACATTTGCTAATGGTTGAGAGCCGAAAAGGTAAGCCCCTTGGTTTCTGTTCAATCGGGATCATCGGCGAAGCACATAAGATCACACTAAGGGAGAGACATGGTCTCGAGCCAGATGACGGCGAAGTTGGTTGGTGGTTGCACAGTGGGCAGGCTCGAATCACAAAGCATGGAGCACACCAATAACAGACTGAGACTTAAGTTGCCTTGTTTACAACGATAAAGAGCTCGTCACAAGAGTAGAATCTCACTGGATTGAATGTGTGGTGCAAATTTGATCAACAAAAAAATGAACTATCATTTCGGTTGAAGAAACCGACAAAGGTGTTTTAGATATGGGCTATGGGTCAGTGTGAATTGTGTATCTGCTGTTGTCTCTCCCTCAAAATACGTTCAATCCCTGCTCACCTTACACATGACCGCTAAGTTTGTATGTATTGCGAGTTTGGCAGCCATCAGTATTAGGGAAAAAGGTTATTTTTTAACCTAAAACTGCCTATTTTTCGAGTATTTGCAATTGTTTTAATGATTTAAATTTCTTTTTGGCCCCGAATCGTCCACCTACGGCTGGTGTTTGCTGATCAGTCAATCCTGTAAACTTTCTCATTATTTGTATCAATTGTCAAGGTCTTTATGTCCGGAGACCAGAACAGTATATTGTAGTGTGAAATCGAAACTAACTGACGTCCAACAATACAAGTTGCATGACGCCTGGCACTGTGGTACAAGACACAGAACGAAGACCAAAATAGCACCCATACGCAATAGTACCATCTTGTATTGCAACCATTTCATATTCTTATAGTGTTGCCACACATTGCATCGATATAATTTCGTTCGAACCGTTCGAGTCTTCTTCCTGATTGGAACATACTACAATATAAACAGATGAGTTCACCCAGTAATCTTATTTTGCTCTCTGTCATGTATACGTTCGTTGCTCATCATCTGTGTTCTTGCTTATGTAGCTGGGAGAAGGCTACCATTGTGCTTGTGGGGTCCAATCTGTGCTGTGATCGTACATGTGGGGCTCAACGACTAGTGTGGCCGTTGAGTACCTCCGTAGCGGTCTCTGTGATATCGTGCATCGTGACTGTGAGTGTCACTACCATTGTGTTGTGCTGTGCTCCATCGATTCCACTTCGGGCACACTGTCTCATGCCGTCCTGTGGGTTATCCTTATTGTGTTTGTTAATTGTGAGTGATTGCTGCTGTACGATCATGATGACGACAACAGTTGGGACACCGAATAATCATCATCCGTTTCATGTGAGTAATGGAGGATTTGATTGGATCTCACAGAAGGAATTCGCACACGAAGCATTGTCTTGACTTGCTGCTTAGACCCAACCAATGCTTCATGTGCTCTATACACAACGAATTCCTTCAGGGGAGATCAGGCATTTATTTGGTTCAAATAGGATAGATAGATACTTATCCCGAGACTCGAGTAAACGGTAACCAACAGAAAAATCAAATTATACAGTGATGACATACCTTGCAAGCTTCGCACACATAGGCACCATGATGAAATCCGGCGGCCAGTTCACCACACACTTGGCAACGTTGACCTTCCATGCGATTTTGGTATTGATAAAATGCCGATTCCGGACTACTGAAACCGGGCAATGCAACATCACCATCACGTGGTATATACGGTTTCTGGTCGTGCATATGTTCACCCATTAAACTGCCCGATTGATGCACATCCTCACCACCACATGAGGACATTGGAGTGGACAGGGTTCGACCACTGCCATTCACACCCATCGCAGTCGATCCGACATCACCAGCGCATGAGGATGATCCCAAACCAGCTGAATGATAGTTATTTACATTCCCACTGTTATTATGATGACTATTATTACTATTATTGCCACTATTGCACCCAATCACCCGAAACAGGCCCGGCGATGAGCAGTTATGATTGGACCGATCTTGTCCGGGCAATTGAAATTCTTTTGTGAACGACTTGCCCAGCCCGATCGGTTCATATGGGTACGAGTAGCGACGAGCTTTAGACCGCGGACTGAGACCGATTGGCACGTTTGGAGCGGACAGATCACACGGCCCGGGATTGATACACATTCCGTTACCATGTGAACTGGCACGTTTACTGGCCAAATCTGTAATTGCTGTCACGGAAGAGGTAGTAGTACAAGACAGAGTGGATGAGGGTGGTAATAGACAAGCAAATCCTGCGTCTCCTCCTCCTCCACTTGCGTCGAATGGAGTCAAATGCTGTGTAGTGGAACCGGGTGAATCGAGATGCATGAGTGCGCCTGAGTTTATATCCAGATGTGTACCGCTCATCATAGTCCGATGTACAGCAGCACCACTGGGGCCCTGAGTTGCATTGGTTGTATTCGCACAGGTGGCAACCGTTAAAGGCAGCGGGGAAAGGGTTGTATTATGACCTGGGAAAAGGGACATGTGGGAGGAGGAATCTGGGAGGAGACAAGTGCCAATCAAATGCGATTGGGAGAGAACGGTGGATCGATGCGGATCGTATGAGGAGCACGTGACGTAGCCCATTGTATGTGGGTTTTGCGAGAGAGACACATTGTGATTATTCCCGGAATAAGATAAGTGTGACAAATCTGAGTCGTCCTGTCGCACTACATCCGAGTCATCCTCAAGTTCTCGTTTGCCAAGGATAAATGGATCCAATCTGGAATGAGTGTTGGTGGCACTCGTGGAACCTAGCTGATAGGGAGAAATCAACGAACCGGGCAAAGAGTGGACAGACATACTCCGTGTAGGAGGGGAAAGATTGTTCTCTTGCTTAATTTGGAAACTAGGAGGTAGAATAGATAGGGGTTGACCTGGATTTGATTTTCCCACAATGGTCGGATCTTCCTCACTTTCTCGGTTGAAATGGGAATCTCCGCCGCTCGCGTACGCGGCACACGTAGGCACCGAGGAGTAGAACAGATGACCTTGATTGTCAGCACCACGGTCCTGGGACGGGGATAGCGCGGATGTGGAGGAGACAGTCGCATTACAAGTCGTGACCGTGCTAGTGGTCGCGATTGTATTGCCATCCGCATTGGTATGAAAGGGTAATTGTCCCGAGGAACTGTCAGTCAATGGGCACTCGTTTGATTCAGGTCGACAAACCAACAATCCCAAGTGTTGTTGTTGTTGCGGATGATGATGATGCTGATTGCCATTTGAATGATGGTTGAGTGTATGCGGATGACTCACACGGGGTGTCGAAGAGCACGGATACTCACCAACACAACTGTTATCCCCACTCGGTACGGACATGGAATACAGGGAGACAGGACGGGGGGAGTGTTTGTGAATGTAACAAATCTTTTACGGTCTACGGGACAAATGTGCACACAGCTGGTTCACAAAAACGAGAAGTTGCACCACAGGTCAACACCAGAATCCGGTGCTGAGTAGAGAGAAAAAAGTCAATCCGATCGTATCAGCTGATCAGAAGAGAGTAGTCCAGTGTGAATATGTCGTCGAACAGATTTGTCAGAGCACAATATGGATAGAGCCTGTTCAATGAGGAGTGCTGCATTGGTGTTGTTTTTGTCAGGGGAACGATGTGGCCCAGATTTATCATTGTTCCAGAATGTGACCTGAAAATCAACAAAAATCATTATCATTTGATAATAGAAAAAAAAAACGAATACTGAATTCAATTAGAAAAAAAATCATGACTACGA